AAAGAGAAAGAGAAAGAGAAAGAGAGCGCATGAGAGAGGGAGAGAAAGAGAGAAAGAGGTTATTAACTCTTGCCTTTTCCAACACTCCAGTCTATACGGATCTGTTTGCTCATTATAAAAAATTCAACAAGCCGGATTCGACACGTTGTCTCACACCTCCTGCATTTATTCGTGCGCAGGTAAAGGAGGTTCTAGAGAAGGAGGTGAACGACCTGCAGGAGAAGCTGCAAACTGCCGTCCAGCAGGTGGCAGCACTGAGACATGAGATGTCGTCTCAGCAGGAGGCCTCGCAGGTGAGACATAAGTGAGGCGTGCTCGTGAGGTGTCTGCGAAACACGAGTTACTCCCGCCTCGCAGAGCTTGTGGGAAATGTTAGAGAGCCCAGCACTCGCTCAACAAGGCTGTCTTGTTAACAATGGATCTATCGCCCTGTGCTGGAATTTTTGCATATTCTTCTATGCTTTACATCGAAATTTCACCTATTTACACACAGGAACAGCATAATATTTTTACAATTTTGAACTTTACTATAGACGTTCTGTCAATATCTGTTTGAACATTTCATCAAATATGTCAAGAACATTATAACACGTTAACCTGAAAAACCGGTCATTGTAGAGTAATAGTTTATATAATAGTTTCGCGGGCGTGCATTTTGATTGTTCGAACGAGCTGACTCGAATTTCGCATGGAACGTGTTAAATAGCAGTTATAGTCGAACCCGTGTTAGTGGATGTAACTGTAGAGCATATGCCTGTCTATCAAGCACACCGTTGGCATTTCCCCTGAATGGCGGCTGCACAGTTAAACCATCTCTATAGAACGGACGCGTCGACTATCCGCACTTTGCCACCAAGCATTGTTCTATAGAATGTCCTCTCGCCGCAGTGATTGGCCGCAGCTGCCCTTCAGTCACACGAGACGATTAGATCGACCGCATCAAACTCGCTCTGCTGGGGTACCTTACACCATACGCAGGGGTAGAAATTAACTTTTGAATAAGAGAGTCCAACGGATTCCCTACCCTCAAAAAGAAGGAGTCCACAGCAAAATAAGGGAGTCCGCAGTCTGAGGTTCAAAATTAAAGATATTAACAATAACGCATATGCTTATTTTGTAAGATTAATGTGCAGTTGCACGTCTGCCAAATTTTCTTCGGACATTAGCTGAAAAAATACAGTAATTTTGCGAGGCCGTGCTTCAGACCGAACTAGTTAGTATGGCAGAATTTTCAGGGAGTCACACGGACTCCTGCATATGTCAAATCAGGTAGTCTGACAGTAAATCAGGGCGTATTTGACGCCGGACTCCCGTCAATTTCGCACCCTGATACATATCATCCTGATCATTTTCGCACCCTGACCCCGTGTGGGTCAGACCTTGTAGTTACAATCAGCTCAGTTGTATAACTAGTAATTACCCGACTCATTCGAAGGCGACGGAGACTGAGCTGCAAGGAAAGCTAAAGCAACTAGAAAAGATAGGCGAAACAAACGAGGTGACCATCACGCAGGCCAAGGAAGACACCGGTAAGAGCCGGCCAAAGTTCTACTGGGAGGGCCGCGGGGGGCATTCTGTTTGCCGCAAGTGTGTTACGTTTCGTTTCTGGAAGGTGGAGGGTGTTAGTTTTTGCGAGCGGTTGACGTTTCGTTGACTGTGTGCGGTTGTATACGATGTTTCTAGATAAGGGTAAGGGTTAGGGAGCGAGTGAGGGAATCTTTAGTGTGCGTATGACTTAATGTAGCTGTAGGAATTAGCCAAGGGTTAGGACTAGGAAATAAGTGAGTGAGGGATTGACAGTCATTATTGTGCGTATGGCAATGTTTTTGCAGAAAAACTGCGAACTGCTGTCCAGCAGGTGGCAGAACTGAGGCAGGAGATGTCGTCTCAGCAAGAAGCCTCAAAGGTGAGACATTTTCTAGGCGTAATGCTGCCTCATTGATGATCCTTCTAGTGCCACCTTGAGAAGCAATTGTAGACAATTCGCCTGTATAAGCAACCGTCAATCGAACAAAAGTCGAAAATAGTCTTCTTATACAGATACCCGTTCTGGCGATGTGTCATTGCCTCTCAAGGAAAGCATGCAAAGTGTCTTTTATAGACAGGTGTCTGTTCTCTAGCGGTGTCTACTGTCTACACACTTATGGCCATGTCAGTCCGTCGTGGTCGTAGCCGTGGTGGTAGTCGTCCGTCGTGGTCGTCGCCGTAGTGGTGGTCGTCTGTCGTGGTCGTCCGTCGTGGTCGTCCGCCGTGGTGATCCGTGGTCCGTGCCGTCGTCGTGGTGGTGGAGGTACCGTCGGCGTTGTGGGTGCGCTGGCGCCATTACTGGTGTTCCAGCGCAACCCCGGGAAGTGGAGCCTCCTCTATCGGAACTATCTGGATGGCGGTGGTGTCATTGAGGTGCACCACCGTAAATCCAGGGTTGAGCCGCCGGAAGCGGAGCACATCATCGAGGAAGGTGCTCCGCTTACTGTATGCGAGCTGTCCCGGCACCCCGCCATATATGAGACGGCGTGGCCTCGGAGACGTGGGCCGACCGGTGGAACGGTCCTGAGCCGGTGCGGAGACAGTGTTCAGTAGCCGCTGGCAGGGGCATTCCGTAGAGCGGCCGGCGGCGTTCCTGGCTGTGGTGGGGACGGTGGCCTGGTCCGCACAAAAGCGTTTGTGGGGTGGCTCCCCCTGGGCGGCCGGGTCCTCGTTGGGGCGTCGAACGGCGTAGTGATCCATGATCGGCGGTCGGTTGATTCGGCTGTCAACTGGCGTGGTAAGGACTTGGTGGAAGAGTAGAGAACGATTAGACATCGTGAGCGTTATAATGCAACGCACGATGCGAGGTAGCGAGTCACACGGATAATACTCAACAGCAACGTAATGACCAGTCCCTGTCACCGAGTCTGCCGGTGTAATTTCTAATCACTAATTATGAATGAATTTGCTTCATTACATATGTGACCCGAATCACACATTATAAAAAAATGCCGACGCGTGAGGGAGAGACCGCCATCTTGGTGCACACGACCTGAATGTCGCGCTGCGAAAAACAAGTGCACGTCCGACGTCGAACGCGATCTTGTTTTTTTGTTTCTGTTTGCGTTAGCAACGCTGGCGTGGTGCGCGGTGCAAACACGCCGTTTCAGTTCTGCGACACGGCAATGTCGAACGCGCTCTTGTTTTTTTCTGCAGAGAACCTTCCCGGCGACGATGGCGAGTTCTACCAGTTTGTTTACGTTAGCGACGTGGGCGTGGTGCGCGGTGCCAGCACGCCGTTCCAATTCCGCGACACGGACGGCGGGGACTTTGTCGCGCTGGAAGAGGATGACATCATGATCGTGCAGCCACGTGCCGCCATCACAGAGGGCAATCTAAAGGTCGCGTTCTGGGAGACGGCGCAGCTGAGAGCTGTGAGTCGTTTACTTGACTTTGTATTCGTCGTCGTCTGCTTGTGCTCGTTCTTCTCGTCACATTGTCTTTTTTGTCGTGTCTTTTTTGTAGAGTTCTTTTTCTACGTTTTTATTTTTCTATTTCTTTATCTTAATCTTTTTTTGTGGGAGACAGTCAGATAGGAAAAGGAGTGAGGAGCGAAGAAGTGGAGTAGAGAGAGGTAGCGAGACAGCAAGAGAGTGTGCGTAGGTGATCAAGAGCGAGAGAGAAAGAGAGGGAGGGAGGCAGGGGGAGGGAGGGAGAGCGAGAAGGATAGAGGGAGAGATGGGGGAGTGAGGGAGAGGGAGAGAGAGAGGGGGGAGAGAAAGAGAGAGAGAGAGGAGAGAAAGAGAGCGAGAGAGAGAAAGAGAAAGAGAGAGAGAGAGACAGAGAGAGATGAAGAGAGAGAGAGAGAGAAAGAAAAAGAGAAAGAGAGCGCATAAGAGAGGGAGAGAAAGAGAGAGTATAGAAAGATAAAAAGAGGTTATTAACTCTTGCCTTTTCCAACACTGCACAGTCTATACGGATCTGTTTGCTCATTATAAAAAAATCAACAAGCCGGATTCGACACATCGTCTCACACCTCCCCCGTTTATTCGTGAGCAGGCGAAGGAGGTTCTAGAGGAGGAGGTGAACGACCTGCAGGAGAAGCTGCAAACTGCCGTCCAGCAGGTGGCAGCACTGAGACATGAGATGTCGTCTCAGCAGGAGGCCTCGCAGGTGAGACATAAGTGAGGCGTGCTCGTGAGGTGTCTGCGAAACACGAGTTACTCCCGCCTCGCAGAGCTTGTGGGAAATGTTAGAGAGCCCAGCACTCGCTCAACAAGGCTGTCTTGTTAACAATGGATCCTGTGCTGGAATTTTTGCATATTCTTCTATGATTTACATCGAAATTTCACCTATTTACACACAGGAACAGCATAATATTTTTACACCTTTGAACTTTACTATAGATGTGCTGTCAATATCTGTTTGAATATTTCATCAAATATGTCAAGAACATTATAACACGTTAACCTGAAAAACCGGTCATTGTAGAGTAATAGTTTATATAATAGTTTCGCGTGCGTGCATTTTGATTGTTCGAACGAGCTGACTCGAATTTCGCCTGAAACGTGTTAAATAGCAGTTATAGTCAAACCCGTGTTAGTGGATGTAACTGTAGAGCATATGCCTGTCTATCAAGCACACCGTTGGCATTTCCCCTGAATGGCAGCTGCACAGTTAAACCATCTCTATAGAACGGACGCGTCGACTATGCCGCACTTTGCCGCCAAGCATTGTTCTTTAGAATGTCCTCTCGCCGCAGTGATTGGCCGCAGCTTCCCTTCAGTCACACGAGGCGATTAGATCGACCGCATCAAACTCGCTCTGCTGGGGTACCTTATAGCATACGCAGGGGTAGAAATTAACTTTTGAATAAGGGAGTCCAACTGACTCCCTACCCTCAAAAAGAGGGAGTCCAGAGCAAAATAAGGGAGTCCGCAGTCTGAGATTCAAAATTGAAGATATTAACAACAACGCATATGCTTATTTTGTAAGATTCATGTGCAGTTGCACGTCTGCCAAATTTTCTTTGGACATTAGCTAAAAAAATACAGTAATTCCACAAATCCGTGCTCCAGACCGAACTAGTTAGTATGGCAGAATTTTCAATGAGTCACACGGACTCCTGCATATGTCAAATCAGGTAGCCTGACAGTAAATCAGTGAGTATTTGACTCCGGACTCCCGTCAATTTCGCACCATGATATATGTGTGGGTCGGGCTTTGTAGTTACAATCAGCTCAGTTGTATAACTAGTAATTACCCGACTCATTCGCAGGCGACGGAGACTGAGCTGCGGGGAAAGCTGAAGCAACTAGAGAAGATAGGCAAAACAAACGAGGTGGCCATCACGCAGGCCAAGAAGGACACAAGTAAGAGCCGGCCAAAGTTCTGCTGGGAAGGCCGCGGGGGGCATTCTGTTTGCCGCAAGTGGGTTACGTTTCGTTTCTGGAAGGGGGAGGGTGTTAGTTTTTGCGAGCGGTTGACGTTTCGTTGACTGTGTGCGATTGCATATGAGGTTAGATAAGGGTTAGGGTTAGGGAGCGAGTGAGGGAGTCTTTAGTGTGCGTATGACTTAATGTAGCTGTAGGAATTAGCTAAGGGTTAGGACTAGGGAATAAGTGAATGAGGGATTGACAGTTTTTAGTGTGCGTATGACAATGTTTTTGCAGAAAAACTGCAAACTGCTGTCCAGCAGGTGGCAGCACTGAGGCAAGAGATGTCATGTCAACAAGAGGCCTCAAAGGTGAGACATCCTCTAGGCGTAATGCTGCCTCATCGATCCATCAAGTGCCACCTTGAGAAGCAGTTGTAGACAATTCGCCTGTATAAGCAAGCGTCAAGCGAACAAAAATCGAAAGTAGTCTTCTTATACAGGTACCCGTTCTGGCGATGTGTCATTGCCTCTCAAGGAAAGCACACAAAGTGTCTTTTATAGACAGGTGTCTGTTCTCTAGCGGTGTCTACTGTCTACACACTAACAACAACCCATTATTAGAAATTAATTCGGCTTCCAGCTAGCGTACAATTGTAACTGACCGCCGACTGCCACCCCGCCAACATTAGACTGTATCAATTTCGTCGCGTAACGTCTGCTGCGTGTTCGTTCCGTTGACGGTGGCGGCACCTAGTGGCCGTCGCCGCGACGTTGCATAACGAGCCGGCGTGTTTGCAGGCGACGGAGGCTGAGCTGCGGGCGACGGTTAAGCAGCTGAAGGAGGTCGGGGAGACGAAGAAAGGAGCCATCGCGCAGGCGAAGAAGGACACGGGTAAGAGGCCGTTATAGTTATGGTTATAGTTATATGGTATGGTTATGGTTAGAATTAGGGATACGGTTGTGGATAGAGATTAGGTTTGGGAATGTAGTTGGGATTAGGGTTATGGTTAAGGCTAGGGTTAGTGTTAGTGTTATGATTAGTGTTAGGGTTAGTTTTAGGTTTAGTGTTAGGGTTAGTTTTAGGGTTAGTGGTAGGCTTAGGGTTAGGTTTAGTGTTAGGATTAGTGTTAGTGTTAATGTTAGGGTTAGTGTTAAGATTAGGGTTGGTGTTAGTGTTAATATTAGGAGTAGTGGTAGGGTTATAATTGGTCTTAGTGTTAAGATTAGAATTAGTGTTAGGTTTAGTGTTAGGCTTAAGATTAGTGTTAGGGTTAGCAGAGGGAGCGATGGAGGAAATCGTCGGTGGGTGTGTCACCTCATGTATGGCTTCACGTTTCACGTTGTGCTCCTGCAGAGAAGCTGCTGGCCCGCGTCCAGGAACTCGAGGAGAAGCTGAAGAACAGCGAAGACAAGAACGAGGCCCTCAAGGCCTGCAAACGGCAGCTGACCGACGACGTCAGGGCCTACGAAGAACTCAAGGCCAGCATGTCAGCATCGCTGAAGGTTCGTGGGCTGCGGGCCGCGCGGGAGGGGTCGTGTGGGAGTGGTCGTGTGGGAGGGGTCGTGTGGGAGGGGTCGTGTGGGAGGAGTCGAGTTGGAGGGGTCGAGTGGGAGGGTCGTGGAAGGGGCGGCGGGCGCGTTGAAGTGACTAATGTCGATTGAAAGGAAGTTACTCTAAGGAAAATGAGTACATTGAAAGCTCGGCGGAAAGATTTCGCGACGCGCTATTTGTGTCACGAGCTGGTTAGCAGTGTGCTAATGTGGACTCTCCTGTTTGTGTCTCCCAGGTGGCGGCCACGGAAATGGATAAACAGAGCAGGGAGGCAGAGGCAGCGAAAGAGAGAGCTTTGCAGCTCGAGAAGCTGCTGGAACAGGAGGAGATGGCGAACAAGGCGGTGGCGAAGGTCAGTCACCTGTTACCTGTCATCCTGCTTGTGTCAATGCATGCACGCGCGCGCACACACGCATGCACACATGCACGCGCACGCTCACACGCACGCACACACAAAGAGGTGGGGAAGGTGGGTCACCCAGTCCTGTCACCCTGCTCGTGTCAGTGAACGCACGCACGCATGCACGCACACACGCACGCACGCGCACGCTTACACGCACGCGCACGCTCACACGCACGCACGCACAAGAAGGTGGGGAAGGTGGGTCACCTGCTACCTATTATCCTGCTCGTGTTAATGCACACACGCACACACACGAACACAGGCACACAGACACAAGCACGCACGCACGTTTATATTTAAACGTGTATGACTCGCGTAACAAAATCGCAACCCCGGTCGCCACGGTGATTTCGCCTCACGACGTCTCGTCGTCTTCGTTGTCACCCCGCAGGCAAGCAGTGAGCTTGCTGACGAGAACTCGCGGCTGCGCGGTGAGCTGGAGAGCCTCAGACAGCAGAAGGAGCTCGAGTCCGCGGGCACGGCGTTCGCGTTCAGTCAGACGCTGGCCGGCCTGCAGGAGTGCTGCAAAAACTACCGGGATAAGCTGACGAAGGCCGAAAACAAGCTCGCTCAGAACGTAGGTTGGCTTCCTTTCTCCTCCTCCTCCTGCTCCTCATCCTCCTCATCTTCCTCATCCTTTACTTCTTATCCTTCTTTTTCTTTCCTTACTCATCATCCTCTACCTTCTCCTCCACCTCCTCCCTGTTCCCCTCCTCCTTTTCATCCCCCTCCTACTCCAATTTCACCTCCTCATCGTCTTCACATTTCTTCTCATACTCTTCTTTTTTCCCTTTCTGTGCACATCCTGTTGTTCCTTCTCATCCTCTTTCACCTCTTGTTTTCCTCACCGTCTGCCTCATCCTCTTCCTGCTTGTCATTCTGATCCCCTTCTCTCGTCTTCTTTCTCCTTGTCGTTTTCCTTCTCACCCACTCCTGGCAGAAGACTCCTAGGATCCTATGAGACATCTGCTTTTTGGCACGCGGGAGCCACTTCAGTGTGGCAGTAGCGAATGGTTTCAGTTGCAAAATTAGAATTCAGATGGGCTGCCAAGCTCAGCTTCCGCTGGTAAGTTTCAGTTTTTGTGTATTTGTTTGAAGGCGAAACTTGCGACGGCGAAGGCAGATCTCATGACAGAGAACGAGGACATGGCGGGGAGGCTGGGGATGGCGACGCAAGCGTACATAAGCAAATGCAAGGTACTGCCGCAGTGATCGTCTGTCCGAATCCATTATTCCTACAATCTTGACTCGAATTTACTAATTTCTTACTAGTTTAATTAGAATTTCAAGGGAAACCTTACGCTATCGGTATGCGTTCTAAATAGGTTAATGATAGTCATTGTGACATCTGTATAGTCAGGTTATCACTTGGCATCTGATTTCTGTGTAGTGAATTTGACATTTGGTCACCTTAAAGTAAGTAATACTTGTCAATTGACCTATTTGCCGAAGTCAACTAAACTCTATCTCTCTCTATCTCTATCTCTCTCTGTCTCTGTCTTTGTCTCTGTCTCTCTCTATCTCTCTCTCTCTTTCTCTCTTTTTCTCTCTCTTTCTCTCTCTCTCTGTGTCTGTCTCTTTTCCCCATATTTCTCTCTCTCTCTCTCTCTCTCTCTCTCTCTATTCATATTTGTGCCCTGTCTCTCTCCCTCTCCATCTCCATCTCCCCATCCTCCTGCTCTATGTGCTCTCTACGTATCTCCTCCTGCTCTCTTCCTCTCGCTCTTGCTCTCTCCCTCTCTCTCCCTCCTACTCTCCCTCCCCCTCTGCTCTATGCGTTATCCCTTCCTCTCTCGGCAGGAATGTGAGAAGTTGAAGATAAAGCTCGGCCGGCTTCAGCGCTGCGGCTCCGCCTCCTCCCTCACGACCGCTGGCGCCACCTACTACAACGATCCCGTTCTCGAGGCGACGACGGATGACGACGCCTTCGCGCTGTCTTTGTGGGCGGAGGTGAGCGGAGGTGGCAGCACCGCGGCGGCGGCGGCGACGGAGGAGGAGGGCGGAAGGAGGAACGTGCGAGTGCTGACGCAGGAGAACGATAAGCTGAGAGGAACCGTGCAGATGCAGAGCAAGGAGATGAGTCTCATCAAGGTGGGTGCGTGCGTGCGTGCGTGCGTGCGTGCGTGTGTGCGTCTGTGCGTGCGTGCGGGTGCGCGAGTGTGCGTGCTGTAAAGTATCGGATGTCAAGACATAATTGGGTAGAACAACATTTATTCGTGCCTAGCAAAACATGGCCGAGGCCAGAGCGCTCTTTACAGTAACAGTCTACATACGCGGGTATACGCGTAGTGATGTGGCTACAAAGTAGTTCTGCATAATGTTACATCCCCTTTTTTTTAGAAGAAAGATTGTACTTCAATCATGAGTAAAAACTGAACTTTTAAAGACCTTCGAATTATTCTATCCGAGTAGTAACCAACATGACGTTAATGTTAAATAATGCTGTAATGGTCAGTAAATCAATAATCAATCTGTAATGTTACTTCTACAGTAAATTCTACAGTAAATCAGTAATCAGTCTGTAATGTTACTTCTACAGTCCAACATGACTGTCACAAAAACTGAACGTTGCAGTAGTTAAACCGAATATCCAACCGAATTAACTAACTCAAATATCAAAGTTATACAACACGTATTCATTGCGTTCTCCACTACGCAATTGCCTGACTGTATCATATCGTTAACACAAATTATAAATCGAGCTTTCTCGGAGCTCTGACCATTCTGCCTGAACGGGTATGATAGTTTGGTTGAGCTGGAGAGCCTCAGACAGCAGAAGGAGCTCGAGTCCGCGGGCACGGCGTTCGCGTTCAGTCAGACGCTGGCCGGCCTGCAGGAGTGCTGCAACAACTACCGGGACAAGCTGACGAAAACCGAAAACAAGCTCGCTCAGAACGTAGGTTGACTTCCTTTCTCCTCCTCCTCCTGCTCCTCATCCTCCTCATCTTCCTCATCCTTTTCTTCTTATCCTTCTTTTTCTTTCCCTACTCATCATCCTCCACCTCCTCCTCCACCTCCTCCTCCACCTCCTCCCTGTCCCCTCCTCCTTTTCCTCCCCATCCTACTCCAATTTCACCTCCTCATCGTCTTCACGTTTCTTCTCATACTCTTCTTTTTTCCCTTTCTGTGCACTTCCTGTTGTTCCTTCTCATCCTCTTCCACCTCTTATTTTCCTCACCGTCTGCCTTATCCTTTTCGTGCTTGTCATTCTGATCCCCTTCTCTCGTCTTCTTTCTCCTCCTCGTTTTCCTTCTCACCCACTCTTGGCAGTAGACTCCTGGGATCCTATGAGACATCTGCTTTTTGGCACGCGAGAGCCACTTCAGTGTGGCAGTAGCCAATGGTTTCAGTTGCAAAATTAGAATTCAGATGGACTGCCAAGCTCAGCTTCCTTTTCCGCTGCCCCACGTCTCGGTAAGTTTCAGTTTTTGTGTATTTGTTTGAAGGCGAAACTTGCGACGGCGAAGGCAGATCTCATGAGAGAGAACGAGGACATGGCGGGGAGGCTGGGGATGGCGACGCAAGCGTACATAAGCAAATGCAAGGTACTGACGCAGTGATCGTCTCTCCGAATCCATTATTCCTACAATCTTGACTCGAATTTACTAATTTCTTACTAGTTTAATTAGAATTTCAAGGGAAACCTTACGCTATCGGTCTGCGTTCTAAATAGGTTAATGATAGTCATTGTGACATCTGTATAGTCAGGTTATCACTTGGCATTTTATTTCTGTGTAGTGAATTTGACATTTGGTCACCTTAAAGTAAGTAATACTTGTCAATTGACCTATTTGCCGAAGTCAACTAAACGCTCTAAATCTCTCTCTATCTCTATCTCTCTCTGTCTCTGTCTTTGTCTCTGTCTCTCTCTATCTCTATCTTTCTCTCTCTTTCTCTCTATTTCTCTCTCTCTCTCTCTGACTGTCTCTTTTCCCCATATTTCTCCCCCCTCTCCCTCTCTCTCTCTCTCTCTCTCTCCATCTCTTGTAAAGTATCGGATGTCAAGACATAATTGGGTAGAACAACATTTATTCGTGCCTAGCAAAACATGGCCGAGGCCAGAGCGCTCTTTACAGTAACAGTCTACATACGCGGGTATACGCGTAGTGATGTGGCTACAAAGTAGTTCTGCATAATGTTACATCCCCTTCCTTTTAGAAATATTATGTTATAATGTTACACGTGCGTGTGTGCGTGCGTGCGTGCAAGTGCGTTCATTCACGAGAGTGTGTATGCATGTGTGCGTGCGTGCGTGAGATTGCACGTGCGAGCGTGCGTGTGTGAAGGTGCGCGAGGGTGGAGGTTAGGTGAAGTATATGCTATGCTATGTAACGTTGTGTCTCACGTGAAACTTCCCGTGTTTGCTAACATGTGTAATGTTTGTGTCACCCACCACCAGGAGGCGCTGGAGAAGGCGCAGCAGACGCTGCAGGTGAAGTTAGCGAGCGAGTCAGAACTTCAGAGCGCGATCGAACATCTGCTAAATTTGCAGACGGACGCGAAACCAAAGGGAACGACGCAGAGACGAGAGATCAAGGTGTGTGTGCGTGCCTGCGTGCGTGCGTGCGTGCGTGGGTGCGTGCGTGCGTACATGTAACATTATGTTGGGTGTGATTGTGTGAGGTTCCATGGTAGTTCATGCACGTAACATTATGCCAGGTGCAATTGCGTGAGGTTCCGTGTGTGTTCACGAGCGAAATATGGTGTGATTTCATGTTTGTTAACGTTGATATACGTTGTTTACATCTCCCACCATGATCTCCCTCTTTCTCTCTCTCTTTCTCTCATCTCTTCCTCTCTCCCCCGTCCCTCCCTTCCCCTGCCTCTCGCTCTCTATCTCACTATGTGCTTACTACCGTGACAGATTTCACAGTCTGCTGTGGAGATGCCCGGTAACCCCATGAATGGCCTCGACGTGCAATTCGGTGCAGTGGAGTTTGGCTCCGACTCAGACTTCACACCCTACAGCACCTCGTCCAGCAACGTGACAAATTTTTACCAGAAGAACTCAGCTAGGTACGTGTGTGTGCGTTTGTGCGTGTGTGCCACGTGTATGTTCGTACGTGCATGTGCGTGCGTACGTGGGTGAGTTCATGTGCGTACGTGGGTGCGTGCATGTGCGTGCGTATGTGGGTGCGTGCACGTGCGTGCCTACGTGTGTGCGTGCGTATGTATGTGCGTGCACGTGCGTGCGTACGTGTGTGCGTGCATGTGCGTGCGTATGTGTGTGCGTGCACGTGCGTGCGTACGGGTGTGCGTGCACTGCGTGCGTACGTGCGTGCGTGCACCTGAGAGGTGTAGTTATTAGTAATGCTCATTAGTTCCCAGACATAATAGCAATCGCCATCTTCCAGGTGTGGTGCTATTCCTTCGTCATTCGCTGTCAATTTGACAGGTGTAATAGTGCATATTGTGTGCCAGAACATGAAACTAGATTGAGCTCGAGAATCGGGCGGTGATCCATACCACCATGACGACACAAACATTTTCCTTTCTCACCTCGTCTCTGCCGCACAAACGGTCAGTTATCGTAAATCTCATATATCGGCGCAGCCATTAATTTGTTCCTCCATCGTCTCCCGCAAGTGTGAGTTGTGCAGCAGCTGTGCCACCTCACCACCGACAGTGTTCGAAATAAGGGAAACATTTTGCTTGTCCAACGGACAAGCTACAAAATATTTTTGCTTGTTCTGCAAAATTTTGGCTTGTCCTGATTAATAACAGAAATATAGTAAATGTGTAAGACATTTAATCAAATTAAATTTTAGACCCAATATCTTACTTTGTAATATTTCAATACAGTTCACTAACAGTATTATCTAAAATTTGGAACTAAAAGACGAATCGAAAATACGAAACGGACTGCAAAAATGGCGGCGGCCAGCGATGGTAAAAAATGGTCTCTCTGTCTCTGTCTTTGTCTCTGTCTCTCTCTATCTCTCTCTCTCTCTCTCTCTCTCTCTCTCTCTCTCTCTCTCTCTCTCTCTCTCTCTCTCTCTCTCTCTCTATTCATACTTGTGCCCTGTCTCTCTCCCTCTCCATCTCCATCTCCCCATCCTCCTGCTCTATGTGCTCTCTATGTATCTCTTCCTGTCTCTCTCTCTCTCTCTTGCTCTCTTCCTCTCGCTCTTGGTCTCTCCCTCTCTCTCCCTCCTACTCTCCCTCCCCCTCTGCTCTATGCGTTATCCCTTCCTCTCTCTCTCTCGGCAGGAATGCGAGAAGTTGAAGATGAAGCTCGGCCGGCTTCAGCGCTGCGGCTCTGCCTCCTCCCTCACGACCGCTGGCGCCACCTACTACAACGACCCCGTTCTCGAGGCGACGACGGACGACGACGCCTTCGCGCTGTCGTCGTGGGCGGAGGTGAGCGGAGGTGGCAGCACCGCGGCGGCGGCGGCCGCGGAGGAGGATGGCGGAGGGAGGAACGTGCGAGTGCTGACGCAGGAGAACGATAAGCTGAGAGGAACCGTGCAGATGCAGAGCAAGGAGATGAGTCTCATCAAGGTGGGTGCGTGCGTGCGTGCGTGCGTGCGTGTGTGCGTCTGTGCGTGCTGTCGGGTGCCCGAGTGTGCGTGCGTGTGTGCGTGCGTGCGTGCGAGTGCGTTCATTCACGAGAGTGTATATGCATGTGTGCGTGCATGCGTGAGAGTGCACGTGCGTGCGTGTGCGAGGGTGCGCGTGCGAGCGTGCGTGTGTGAAGGTGCGCGAGGGTGGAGGTTAGGTGCAGTATATGCTATGCTATGTAACGTTGTGTCTCACGTGAAACTTCCCGTGTTTGCTAACATGTGTAATGTTTGTGTTACCCACCACCAGGAGGCACTGTCGAAGGCGCAGCAGACGCTGCAGGTGAAGTTAGCGAGCGAGTCGGAACTCCAGAGCGCGATCGAACATCTGCTAAATTTGCAGACGGACGCGAAACCAAAGGGAAACGACGCAGAGACGAGAGATCAAGGTGTGTGTGCGTGCCTGCGTGCGTGCGTGCGTGCGTGTGTGCGTGCGTGCGTGCCTGCCTGCCTGCGTGCGTGCGTGCGTGCGTGCGTGGGTGCGTGCGTGCGTACATGTAACATTATATTGGGTGTGATTGCGTGAGGTTCAGTGTGTGTTGACGAGCGAAATATGGTGTGATTCCATGTTTGTTAACGTTGATGTACGTTGTTCGCATCTCCCACCAGGAGGCACTGCAGAAGTAGAATGTAGACAAAACACATGGGCAGCTATGATGCAGCCTATTACATTTCGGGTGAAGTCACGCGTACACACAACAGCATTTGAAAACGAAACGCAAGTAGTGCTAGCACTTTGAGGAATAAATGCATAAATACATGGTGTAAAGTTGTAGAAAGTGTTCAAAGAGATAGGTGATATGTTCATGTAGATCATGTAGATAAATAAGTGTTAAAAAGTCCGATCATTTTGCGTTTTGTTAGACATTTTTCGTGGAAGCATTGGAAAGCAAGTGCAGTTAGAAAAAAACTGGCATAAAATGTTCTATAGCCCTGCAGCAACTGTACGCGGGCTATTGTATAGTACTAGAGCTAGTGTCAGTAGTGACACAACAAGCTACGAATTTTACCACAGCAGCGGCGACAAGTGCCGTGGGTAACATTAACGACACTCATACGTATACATACTTGCTTTCCACTCAGTTATATTGATGATATGTTCTGCAATATTTTCTTTACCGACAAATTGTAAACTTACTATTGAAGTCTTTGGATTCGTAGAGGCCGCCATTTTATGACGTCATGCTGATATTTTTCTTGTTACCATGATCCCCTTCTTTCTCTCTCTCCCTCTTATCTACCCCTCCCTCCCCTCCTTCCTCTCATCCATCCCCCTCTTTCTCTCTCTCTCTCCCTCTCTCATCTCTCCTTCTCTCCCCCGTCCCTCCCTTCCCCCGCCTTTCTTTCTCTCTATCTCACTATGTGCTTACTACCGTGACAGAATCCACAGTCTGCTGTATATCTGCAATCAGGTCCCGGTAACCCCATGGATGGCCTCGACGTGCAATTCGGTGCGCTGGAGTTTGGCTCCGACTCAGACTTCACACCCTACAGCACCGCGTCCAGCAACGTGACAAATTCTTACAAGAAGAACTCAGCCAGGTGCGTGTGTATATGTGTGTGTGCGTGTGTGCCACGTGTATGTCCGTGCGTGCATGTGCGTGCGCACGTGTGTGCGAGCATGTGCGTGCCTATGTGTGTGCGTGCACGTGCGTGCGTATGTGTGTGCGTGCACGTGCGTGCGTACGTGTGTGCGTGCATGGGCGTGCGTATGTGTGTGCGTGCACGTGTGTGCGTTCACTGCGTGCGTACGTGTGTGCGTGCATGTGCGTGCGTATAGGCGTGCGTGCACGTGCGTGCGTACGTGCGTGCGTGCACCTGACAGGTGTAGTTATTAGTAATGCTCATTAGCTCCCAGGCATAATAGCAATCGCCATGTTCCAGGTGTGGTGCTATTCCTTCGTCATTCGCTGTCAATGTGACAGGTGTAATAGTGCATATTGTGACTATTATGTATATATGGGTTAGTGGGCATATAGCCAGTGATTGTAGTTTGTCTATACCCATAAATAATGAAACGATTGTACCAGTATTTGCCAATATTGTCATTGTTTTCAGTTATTGCTGAGTCGGTAAACAATGTGAACCTAATTGACGCTTGTTATCCGCCTGGCAAGATTGACAGTCAGCTCTAACCAATCACTGTTGTAATAAGATGTTCTAAAAGACAAAGACAGGGAGCGAAGTGTCGCGGAGTCCGCAATTTGGCATGCACGCATGAGAAACAGGGTATAAAGTGTGTGAGCCTGACCTAGAAACAATATCTGAGGCAGTGTTTCCCCTGGCCAAAAAGGTCAGCGAGGCGGCACATTTTTTTTGGTGGTTGCGCAATTCGAAAACCGACCACCGAAGGTGATCCCGACGCTAGAGGTCCGGGGGCATAACCCACCAATTTTTTTTTTTAATTGTGCAATTTGGTGCATTCTAAGCTATTCTGAACACATATGAAACTCTTGAATCACTTTTTCGAGTTGTCAAAAGGAACAAACAAGCTTCTGGGAAACGTTTTACTTTCGTTTTTCTCCTTCCCAGTCCTCTGTACCCCCATGCATAGATCAATGCTGACGTATATCCGCAATGTTACAAGTACCTAGAATCTTGAAGTATATACAGTTTACATAAAAATAGTCCACTTTATACGTAAAGAAAGTGACGAATTCAGTTAACAGCTTTGATTACGTGCGTGCCAGGTGTTACTGGTCGAGCCCTCACTCCCCACAATAACCCCTGCGACATATGAAGTTATGCGGGCATCTTAGACTGTCACGAGACTTTGTTCGTGTGGCGAATCATGCGTTGAGGGAGTTCATGCCCTCAGCTCTAGATGTTTTGGATACCTCGTCTACGTTCAGGAACGGAGCGTATTAGTATGGGCTCCCGTTTACAATTCTGTCTAAACTGCCGTTGCGATAACCGTAGTATTTCAGCGTAATATGAGGGGAAAAAGTGCGACGACCGGACGACCGGCTGTTTCGTAGAGATGATGGCCGAAGCAAAAACTTGGTAGCCTCGGGTGAGCTTCGGTACCTTTACTAATTTCGAACGCTGTCAATAAAGTGTAGTTTATTGATGGAAGAACAGTGATTATCGTCAGCGAGGCGGTGTTTTTGGATAAATTTCTGCGTGGCGGCTGTGATTTGAGCGAGGCC